TTCGGAAACTAATAATGTTAGCCTTGATTTTTTTAGAGACATAATGTTGGCTCCCAGATTACGCAACTTTGCCCCCATTTAAACTATTTCGTACCGCTTACCGTGTTCGTGATCGCTGTATTGAGAAGCGGAGTATTGGTGGAGTGGATATATTTGACGTGAAAATAGACATACACTTTCAAAACGTCTTTTTATTACCTTGTTATCCGTCTGTGTAGTTTAATCATGACTCTTCCCTTAAAATTAATGACATTGTGACTAAACCACCCTGTATAGGGGACAGGGGGTTCTAGAAATAATTCCCAGAATTTTAATAAAGTAACGTTTGTCTATATATTTTATTTCGGAGACTCGGCTTTTTGTTCGGTATTTTGTAACCTTTAAAATAACTCTAACGACTCGCCTATGGATTAAAGAAATACCTGAATAAGCATACAAGTGTTTTAAAGAATGATTTACTACCATAAAACAATTTTTTTAACTGAAATAGAATTAACAAATTTGAAATCCCCACAAATTACGCTCTCCAGAATTAAATTTAAAATCCATTAAACACTTGCATCTAGAACGTATGTAGTTAAGTATGTAACTACGACAAGAAATGGTTTTAATGTGAAAGACGGGAATTAACAGCTGTCGAACGGTATTCTTGGGGCAACCAGATAATCACGTGAGCTGTCTGTTAGAACGTCGCAGCTTATTTAGATCAGACTAGATAAACGTGTCATTTCCGTAATTTCGCGTATTCTGTCTGACGGGAGCTGGAGCTGGATTAGCAGATTAGATCCCGGATTCATGTTTAAACCATCCTACTTTAATGAGAACCAAATATACGTTGTTTGCGGTACCCGTGAGCAGGCGCGTCTGTTAATGATTTTTCCTTCCTCCGAGACTGTTTCAGAAAGTCAAAATAAAAAAAATTAAAAGTGTGTTTTTTATTTCGATGTAATTTGTATTCTTTAAATAAACCCAGAAAAGGATACTTCGAAACTCGAAGATTTTAGGCTACCCTTAGGTCTCCAACAACAACACTTTATTGACTGTAAATGTAAATTGTGAATAGAACTGTCACTTTTTACACGACCGTAGATAAAAATATTTTCGACAAATTATTACACACAAATTAACTTTTCTCCAATTTGACCGCCGAGATAGAAACGCCCTATATATAAAAATCTTTCAGATATAATTTGTACTTTTCATATTTCTAGATAATTATATTATAGTCTTTCCGAAGTCAGTTGAACATGTAAAAAGAACGCCTTGCAATAAAATTATAATAATTTGTATATAATGTGTGGAAAATTTATATTACATACATGTTCATTTGGCCAACAACTTATTTTAATTATGTCCTTAAACAGTTTTATTATATTGATGGTAAATTTCGTTTAGTTCCGTTTCAAAAGGTCTTCGAAATTTCATGTTGTAATAATATCATTTCTCCCTTTCGCAATTGTAATATCAACGATTAATAGAAGGTTCCTATAATAAATTAAAATTACCCGAATCATCACACCAAATTCGGCATTGCTGCACTGCACTGCTGGGCAATTTGTCAACAGCTGAGATTTATTGCCCAGTGGCCCAATGCAGCTGTGTTTGTATTTCGTTTCCTCGCGCTCGCATTCTTCAATTGGGCGTATATATTTCTACCACCTCCACATTTAGTTGCACTAGACCTGTACATGGGTATGGCTAAATAAATATGAGAACAAGCTTTTCAAATATGTCAATGCCGAGTAGCTGCTTAGCGAACGAGCCTGGTACATACCTTGAAGATATTGGTTTTTCCAATTGATATCGGTTTGGCGCCCAGCATACATTTAATTTAAACTGAAACTGTTCGATTAAAATTGGTGGCAACGTATTGTCTGTAAATATAGATAAAACTTTGTTCATTATTATTTTGTTTACTTTAGATCAGACAATATTTACACATGATAATTGGACCTTAAAAAATTACTTGTGGGAACTTCATAGCATATTGATTTTAGTCAAGCGAAGTCATTATACAGTTTTGTTTTGTGTGGAATTGTGTACTAGCGACATCTTAGGTTATTGTATTTGTATTTCTTTTCGAGATTATCTTAAATAATAATAACCAAGTGGGTAAGTAGGTGTTTTTTTATATAAAACCTGAGTATTTTATTTTTTTCAAAAAATTTGAAGGTCTCGGAAACATTTTTGAGCTAAGATTAAATAAACTCTCTTGCTCATTTGTACCGAAGGAATATCCCCTCGTGTGCTTTCTTGTGGGGCACTCTGTATATAGGCAGTCTATCACACCTTTTTTTTGTTGTTTAACAGACAAACTAACCAAAAATAACGAAATGCAAAAGCAAATGCTTGAGTTTTAAAACACAGATAGTTTTATCATTATTACTGTTTTTAGGTTATCAATTCAAGTGCGATAAATTATCTGCAGATTGATACTTTCTTGCACGTGATCTCGTAGAATTTATTTCGTCAAGCATGAGATAGAAAAATATTCACAAAACGGGTGGAACCTCGTCTAAAAGTGCGATGCCTGTGCAGCGTTGTGCTGGCATTCGCCGTAGATTAACAACATATAAATAGGTTCATTATTGTTATACCTATGTGCCATTTTGTAATTTGCTTTTAAATTTTAGTTTGTGTACGAATTACAAGGAATTTTCGATAAGTTTATGGGACAACCTTACTATTTACCATTGTCAACATTGAACGGGAGTTTCCCTAGGCCAGTTCCTCTTAACCATCTCGCGCTCTCGCAGGGTATCGCCTCCGACTCTTTTAGAGTTTTTGTTTCTTTGCAGATGAGATCTGCGGAGGTCGCTAAACGTGGAAGAGCGCGAGCGTTATTATGCGATTTATTTTTAGATTAAATTAGCCCGAGTCCGACGTTTGTTTTTCCTTTTTTTCCCGAGACACAACTGCGCTGCACTATGGAAGACACAATGGTGCAATTTGCTACTCGTAGCGAGGAGTCAATTATGGAAATTAATTGCTGTGGCGTTTGTTGATATTCAGAGGAGTTCGCGGTGTGGGTTTCTTTGATCTGGTAATTGTTGGTTTAGCTAAAATCACCATCAGAGTATTTAAATAAGAATTTTTATGCAATGAATGAATCGACGAAAACTTAGTTTCTTATCATGAAAACGTTTTTCAAATGTGCAAAAGTCTTATAATGAGTTAGTCGGTAGGTGTAGACATGTTTATTAATGACATTTGTGAGCTTGAAATGTTTAATTTTCCTCTCTAGTCCTATCTTTAAGGATAAGTCACATAAATCGGAGATTCGAGTGAAATTGTTCGACATTTTTATTTATTTTGGAACCATTATCACCGTTGGAATCAACAAAACTGTAATAAAAGCATTTCAGTGCAAATTCTGCAACAAAATTGAATGTTTTTCATCCCCATAACCCGACCCGCCGAACAAAGACACGCTTTTCTTCACAGAATATTGGAACAATCGCGTACGTAATGTAAACAGAAACTTTAAACGATTTTCCCTTTGTAGTCCAACCACTGTTTTTACTATTTGCGGAACTTTGAAAGCGTTTAACTTTTTATGGACCAACTTTGTCAGCGTCGTTTAATATTCTTTGGCAAAAAGTTTCCGTTTATGAATTTTAAAATAGCTTTTCGTGGAAAGGCGAAATTTAAAAACGGCAAGTAACGGGACACTGTTTTTATTGCTTAAAGCCGGTTAGCGTATTCACAAGTGAAACAAACAACAATAACTTCTTTTTCTGTTACCATCCGCAAAATACTAAGTTTTGCTTTGATTTGGTTCGTAAATCGAAAACTGGAAGAAATTGGGTCTTATTTATGGATTTCTATAAAATTATTTCGCTAGTCAATCGCTGCGTCAAAGTTTCTGCATATAAATTCAATTTTGAAACAAAAAGGATTTTTTTTTAAATTTAAAAATTTTATTGCGTCCTCTTTTTTATAATTTTACATTAAATTCAAATATCGAGAAAAAATTTTTTTAGAAATTTAAAAAAATTGTATGTACTTATTTTCAAAATTTTTATTTTTTTCGAAATTTACAGACCTCATGGACGTGTATACCAGACAAAAATAAATCGTTTAAATTAGAAAAAAAATAGAAAAAACAGAAAACCGAAAGTTTTCATTAATGTTTTAGTAACTTTCCAATTCATTCTTTTTTTAACACCCTGTATTGTGTTTATACGCGTATTTTAATTGAAGTTCAAAATGCTAGACAAAAATAAATCATTTAAACTTTATATATTTTTTACGAATTTTCTTTTATCTGGCACAATTTTTCTTTTTTCCATTTTGTCTGTCAAATTTTTTGTGACAAAAAATATGGGTATTAATTTTAAGTACCCGAGATACCAGACAAATAGTGATCACTGAAAAATGTTAAAAATTTTCACATAATTTTCCACAGAGAAACTCGACTCCGAACATTGGACACCGTCTGGGCAATTTATTTTTATCATTTTCATAACAAAAATTTTCACTGTTTCGATTGCCGGACAAAAAGTAAACGATGATTTTTTTTTCTTCTTGCAAGTTCACCCCTATGAACCACCCTTTCGGCTATTTAAAACCGTCTGGCATTTGAAAATTGTTAGGTACTTATTAATGTCTATTTTTGCATCAACTGCCAGACATTTTAAGATGAGTGAAAAACGAATTATTTTATGCAAAAGGAAACTAATTTTCCAAACTTTCGAACACGGGTCGGTCCTTAAAGCCACCCTTATTTTCATTAACTAACTTACCTTTTTCAGACCTCAAAATGCCAGACATTTTTCGATGACGCCACACCCATGTGCGCTAGCTAACGGTCTATTTGTTTTGGTTTACTTTTTAGCGAGTTCTACACTTCGTTCTTTGAAATTTTGAATAACTAGCACGTAGAACACCTAATTCAAATGTTATGGCTCTACGCAATTCCAATTTTTGGACTATTTAAGTTGAAAATTTATATTCCTCGGATTCTCGTTAGCGCTAACTGATTAACTATTTTGTTTCAGAAATCTCCCACATCTTCGCTAAACGGAAATGAGCCGAGATCGCTAGGAAGCCGGTGTGTGGAACGCGACAAGAGCAGCAAACGGAAGTCCAACCTAAATCGTTCACTAACCTCGGAAGAAGTTCCTCCAGCGGACTTCAGTGGTACGTTAACCCCCCCGTTTGTTTGTTTGTTTATTTTAATGGGACACAGACGTAGCTGTCAGGTTATCCGTTTGTTCTAAAAATAAACTGTTTTGCTATATACAGCAGACGGTTCTGTACAGATTACGACTTATTTATTCACGCAGTAAAAAGTGTGTTTTTTTTGTTTAATGGCTTTCAAACAATGATAAACCGACAAACATAGCGTCTACGTTGGTCAGTATTTACCTACACGTAAATTTTTTGACTCATACCAAATAATACGTCTCGTCATTACTGATGCATAACGTGCATTTCGCCCGTCGTCTAACAAAAATGAATCACGCATTATTGTCGCATCAATAATTTCATTTAAATAGTACCGCCGCCGTCGCCGCAACGGAGGAAACCTTCGCCTGCATTGTCAGCTCAATCGTTTTCCATACTGCACCAACGCTGAACCGTTTCCAGCGATAATTTAATTTCCAACGAGGCTTCGTTTAATTTACAAGCGTTTAAATAAGTCGACGATATTACCATTTCAAAGGGGGGTATTTCGCCGGAATCCGGACATACCAGACGAATTTTTGGAGGTCGATTTTCAATGGCTGCAACAGAATGCAGAGCCCTTTTGTGCGTCGCACGGTCGTTAAGGTTGTAATTTCAATCATTCGATAAGTTTTCGAAAACATGGAACAAATACAACACTACGTTATTCAGAGCGTTCTGAAAAGCGGTGCCAAAAATTCGTGGGTAGATAGAATATCAGAATATGAGATGGTGCAATAACTGTTGAACACACCAATTCTTACTATATCGCTGTATACCGAAAAAAAAGGAGGAATATTACGAGCACTTAAAAAATAATTAATATGTCAAAAGTACCTCGTATATTATTTCATGTAAAAATTGAATTCGTCTTTTGATGTGTTCAAAAACAGCACAGTTGCAGCCAAATTTAATATATTCATTGTATTTCATTAACAGCTAAACTGAGAAAGCTGGAATCGTAAAAGGAATAATCAATATGTTTATTTAGTAATCAGTAATACTATGTCTGAACACAACACACATCCTATGTGCATGTATTCATTCGATTCTGCACGGTCCAACAACAACAGCTTATGTAAACAGGTTGTGGTTCAACTATATTTTGCATTTACAGATGTTTTTTTGTTCAAGTTATTCCGCGAAGTCTACGGCTTATGTAAATAGCGGTTGGTCATTCAACAGCTGCAGTACTTTATTGAGTAGGCAACTAACAATACGAGCATGATTAAACGAACGAGTGCCTAGAGGCGCGCAACATACTTATTGTAGTATATTTTTAAATTAAATATTATAAATGGTTGATTTATTAATTCTATTCGGACTGTCTTTCGACGATTAAAAACATACCCTCTAAATTGATTGCCTTCCTACAAATTCAGTGAATTTAAGGTTTACGTTTAGTTGAATCAAAGAAATATTATTCCAGTGTTACAGTTTATCTCCATGTAGTAATATAATTTCCAGTTAAACATATTTCACTCCTAAAACCATCCCCTTCCGTCGCTGTTGAACATTTTGAAACCTTGGAGGGACCTTAAATATCATTCTCCAGAGCCAAGTCACGTTTTATGGGGCGCAGACTTTCATAAGACACCCCCCACCCCCGGTCTGGCGCGGCGGGGTTATTTAAAATTTACAACCTGCCGAGGGAGCCAAGTTCAAAACGTTCCAATGTTTCCACGTCTCTGTCGTAGAAGCGTTCACCTGTATTGTACCCTTCTAGTGTCTGCTGCCATGGCGACCGCCCAGTCAGACTTTACACTCCAATCTCCGATGCCGATAAAAAATACAACAGCTAAACAACTTTTTGCTCGACGGGCTTTGTTGAATTCGCCCCGACGAATCCATCAGAAATTTCAGTGCCCACCGCTCCTTGTTAAATTACAAATTGGGCGGACACGCGCAAATTGCCCCACAATAAATCTGGTCATTGGTGGAAAAATATAAATACGTCAATATATTTTTAAATTAGCTTAACAAATTATGAAGCAATTTATCTGGCCCTCATCCTGTGGTGCGCAGATTAACAACACAAATTAATTATCGTCACATTTTCTAATAACTGTCAGTAATTAAGTACGTTGTAACAGCAACACCAAACTTATTGTTAGTTTTCAAATACCACTGACACGTATCTAGCTCCAACTTTTACATTACACTGTTCTTTGTTGAGAAAAACTTAATTGTCAATGACACCCTACTTACAAAAGATAATATAAACAGAAAAATACTATAAAATGTTATTTTATGTTTTTGAAAGGCGCAGTTTACTTTTTCCGCAGGCCTGTGGGGTAATTTACACCTGTACCTCTTTCGACGGGCGTTAGTCCAATTTAACAAACTTTTTTTGTGACAGGGGCAGGCGTGCATTTTCACACAAAGGATAATTAGAGTCAATTGGGGAGGGCCTAAGTAAGGTAAATTTGTTAAGATCGGTGCTGTAGAATAGCCCGTTATTTTGTTCCGAAAATTGGTTGTAATGATTCAATTTCGACGGGCGATGTTTCATTGTTTCATTTGGGACTCCCGGCGCGTCAGATTTATTGGACGTTATCCTGCAAAGGTCAACTTCGTGATTATGAGTGATGACAACGCGGTCAGATTATTGCCGCATCTAATTTAAAATTACCATATTTGCTGCTAATAAAAATAATGTATAATTGTCATCATTGGGTAAAATAACGTTTCACAAATACAACTCAAGACCTTGGTGTAAAAAAGGAGATAGGCAACAGTATGCAAATTGTACAGCAGAAGACGTTTATTTATTATCCCGTTACCTTAATTAATTTTTGATGTCATATCATTAGCTAAATAATTCATAAAATTTAAGTCTGTTAAAGTGAAATATTTGTATAACTGTTGAAGATTTATTGCAATATACAATTTCATTATTTCAATTTTAGGACCGGCGTGACTCCGAGAAAAAAAATGGACTTATGTTTATATAACATCCTTTGTTACTTTCTGCTGCCAACCAAGCCTAGACCTAATGAGTTCTTCTTTTGTTCCAGATGATCCAAAGAACCGTAGACGCCGGCGTCGTTTCTTCCCGCCAGAGGTATTAGAACAGTCCAAGGACTCCGGCGATGACAAAACCCGAAGTGATATGACCCTCACTGCCTCTTATATATCTCAGCCATCTACATCACCGATCACTGCCTCGTCTCCGACGTCTAAAACCACTCCCAAGAAGTCCGACTTGCGTGTTCACATGGAGAACGCCCGGAAAGGCGCCAGTCCCGCTTTCTCCGAAATGGGAAGATACAAGCCCTTCGCCAAACGCTCTGTCACCTCCAGCCCAAAGGAGAAGCCGTCATCCCCCAGAACGCTCAACCCCCCATCGCTAGAAAATCTGTCTTCTAAATTGCCGATCAAGGAAAATACAAGGAACCGGGAACCTTTGAAGGTTAGCTCAATATCAGACAACGACGAGAACCGCAGTAAGAACATAGCGAAGAGAATGGAAGAGCTGACAGCTTTCACCAGGCAGACCCTCGCCAGAGTCGAGCGTTTGGCGAACAAGAACCGGGAATCTCCCAAGAAAGAACTGAGAAAACCCCTTATTAGGCAGATAGACAGGCCGAGTAGTAGATCGAATAGAAAATCGCCGTCTCTAGAAAAGTCGGTGCCGTCCTCGATACTAAAGAAGAAGTCTGCCGACGAACCGTTGCCCATTATCATAGAGCCGGCAACTCCCCTTACGATTTCCTCAGCTGGGCCCGTTTCTATATTGAAGAGAAAGGTGTCCCAGAATGACCACAGTAAACTAGAGGACGGTCTGCATTCCTCCACGCCGCCAGTCACTTTCTCTCCGAGCGTGGTGGAGCCGACTTCGACCAAACGCAAACAGGGTATTTTGAAAAAACGAAGAAGCCTCGATGAATCCACCGTCATGAGGCACCGCAGTTGCAGCCCCGACGTGGCCAACAAAACCGACTCTCGCTCCATTTTGAAGAACCGGCGTAGGTCTTCCCTTGAAGAACTCACGAGAACGCAGTCTCCTGAAACGCCACTGCAAGGCATATTGAAGAGGAAGACCTCGAGGAACGAGGACGAGGATCTCTCCTTGAACTCACCACAGAGCATTTTGAAAAGGCGTTCGGGTGCCAGCAGCGCTGGCTCAACCGGTAGTACACCGCACGTGTCAATTACCACCGCCGTCATATTAGCAGCGGCCGGCGGTGCGGAAATGGTTTTGGAATCGGACGGTGAACCTGTCAAGCCTATACTGAAGAAGAAAAGCTTTTCCGAGGACCATTCCTTCTACAGCGAGAGCTCATCAGAGACCCCTAAACCTATACTGAAGAAGAAATCGAGTACAGAAACCGACGACTCCGAGGAGAAACCCAAGCCTATCCTTAAGTTACCCAAGAGTTCTTTGGAGAGAGAAATTCTAGACACAGGCCAAGAGCCCAGACCGAGCGCTTTCAAGCACGTCGAGACTGAATGCGAAGTTAGGCCAATCCTCAAGCAATCCTTTCCTAGAGAGGAATCTCCCAGACCAAGACTGTCTTTCTGCGGAGGGCGCAACTCGAATGACGAGGAAACTTATAGATACAAGCCCTCCAGAAGATCCCATACGATCTGTACCGATTTCAACGTTGCTTCTTTGCAAATAGACACCAAGGAGGAGGATAGACTTCTACGTAAACCTAGGCCCCTGTCCGTTCACGAGTTGGTGATGTCTTTCGAGAAGACGTCGACGGGGGCCATTCCCAAGAGGACCAGCTTGAAGAGGAACAGCGACAGGTATCGCACGCAACCCGTCACATCAAACGAATTGGAAGCTAGGTAAAAAAATTCATTTGAAACATTTTATTTCACAGTGTCTCCGATTAATCTAGGAATATCCAGGGTGTAACATCGACCTTGCAATAAAATTTCTGAGCTGGTATCAAAATAAAAAACATTTTTTTTTTTGTAAAAAAGCGCCAAGATCTTTCAGAAATTGGAATTGAAATAGTTTTTGGTCAATTCAAGGGCTATTGAATCTTTACAAATTAGCTGAAGAAGATTATCTGTACAGTCAAAGAGAATTTGTAACTTGCCGTTATTTAAATCAAACTACTGTCAGTTCCCACCGATACAAATAATAATTGACAGTAAAATGTCACAATGCGCCGACAGGTTGATAGGAATTTATCACGCTGATGTTTTTTTTGCGTTTCTAATGACCGTCATTAATCGTTTATCGATGGCGAGCCATTTAGTAGCTGCAGGTTCAGTACAGTTATTTACTTCGGTCCCGATATCAAGGGACTGTTAAAATAAACTCTGACGGCAATAAACCGAAAGACAGTTGGGAGTTTAGCACTCCGGCTAAATTTAGACGTTTCCGGACGCCCGTTTCGAATTGTTTTAAGATACACAGAACAATACCGCAATGAGCTCCCTATAATCGATATGTGTGTTTTGCGGCGTATTAAAATTTGAGGATTTTCTATAAATTTTGCTGCCAAATCTTGGTCTAAAATTAGACCTCCTTTCCGTCCCATTCAGTTCGTGCGTCGATGTCTAACAGTGAAGGTTGTTTCTGTGAAAAAGTGTGTTTTTTTTTTCGATTGTTGTTGTAAACATTTGAGGTTAGTAAAGTGTTCTTGTTTAATGTTTAATGGAGTGATAGATGAGCGGTTGTTTTTTTAAATGGGCATAAATTTCACGCGATTTCGGGTCACGGTTGGCGTAGGAGATCAGCCTACGCCAGCTTAAAAATAAGTATTCGATACTATTCAAAATGTGTCGAAAATCGTGTTTGCGCACTGAAAATTTATTGGCTCCGATATTATGCTGGCAAAAATTACAATATGGAAAAATATAATGTAACAACGGTTGGATTTTTTTTTAATTCTTTGATTTCGGCATCCCACACTTTTCATAAGAAACGCTTATAGTTTAAGATGACTTTAGCAGAATTTAATCTAATTCTAATAAAATGGTACCAACTTATTATAATGTACTTTTTTGAAAAGGTACTACCGGTTTAAGTATTTCTAGGAAACCGCAATTCTATTATCATTTTTAGCTTTAGGTGCGGCAGAGCGCATCCATTTTTTACACGAATAACTTTTGTAAACAGAAAATAATTTCTAAATGTCCTAATCTGTCTACACTCTCTATTAAATATTGCATCGCTGTTACCTAAATTATGACCTATTTAAATAATCTAATGCAATAATGAATGTAAAGTAAAACAATTGTTAGTTTATCGAAACAAGCCAGTAGATATCATGAAACAGTTGAAATGTCTCAGCAAACCTTCTTCAATTATGTAATAAAAATAAAATATAAAGACTGTGTCATCAGTTCTCGTCAAAACTCAACTTTTCAGCTTAAATCTGGTGAAAAGCCCTCCAACGTTCTCCGAAGACCAGAGCAGCCACAGCATCATCTCCCATACATCACGTTCTTTCGACATCCATTCGTTGCTGGACTTCACGTCGTCGTTAGAGAATGACGGCCATCTGAACAGCATATTCACCTCGACACTCCACAACTCCACCAGTCCTGACAGCACCGTGTACGGAAAAATGTCTTCGGATTCAGCTTTCCAGTCTCTTGGAGACGGTTTAGAATTGGAACAGGTAAGTCGAGTCATCCGAAGAAGGTTTACAACGATTGTGTTGCCTTCGAACCCAATCCTTCCAAGTCTTTAGTGCTATGTCAATTTCTATTAGGGATGCTTCCCAGTTTGCTCTTTGTAGTGTCACTTAACGCCGTTTCTTTCGCAGGAAGAAGATGTGGCACAGGATGTCGTCCGGGAATCGGTTAAATCGAAGGGCAAGCTAGAGCCCTCTAAATTGGAATTGCAGATGAAGGCGATCGCCGAGGAAGCCAAGAAAATGAGATTGGGCAAAGGTAAATAACACACGTAACGTAGATCTTGTTTACTTACACCGATATAAAAAAGGCACGTGGGTATCCAGCAAAACCGGACGCCGTAAAGTTCGGAGTTTATACGATTTCATGAATTGCTTTCTTTACGCTTATTGCGTTCTCACCGCAGTTGTAGACCTTTTTAGGCTTTAAAATATTACTTTAACGAAATAACAGTCTCAAAAAATTTAATCGCATAGAAGAAGCGGATCAACGGTAAACTTAACCATATCATCAAATTATTTTTATAGTTTCCATTCTTTTAGGTAATGCTGGTATTGAAAGATACAGAACCAGGAAAACTGGGACTACCGAGAGATTGCCCGCTCGTTTTTCAACTCAGCCAGTGACTTTCGAAGAGGTCCAAGAGGCTTCCAGGATCAACAAGGGTTCAGATGAGGATCCGGATGGTAAGGAAACCGAAAAAAACCGAGCTGTACAGTTAACGCTTATAGTTTAATTAATCTGCATGTGTAAATTTTGTATATACGATATTGCACGGTGTACATTATAATGCATTTATTAGTCTGGATTTAATAGGATATACCAATTCGCGTGGGGTTATTAGTGAAATTATAATATGCGCGTTGAAATTAATTTAGTTTTTATTAGGTTTTATTCAAATTGGCAGCACAGAAGCGTATTATCGATGGCAGTAAAATGCACCGAACACATTTATGATCGAAATTTATTATTAGTTTTATCACGTACTGCAAAATGTAATCGACATTTGTATAAAAATATTTCCTGAACTATTTTTTTTTATTTGTGTAATTATTCTTGGTGTAAATTCATTTCTACGTCAAATTACAGAGTTTTTGCTCAGCCGGGCCCAGATATTATCTTGCCTCTTGTTTTGCCCTAGGAAACGAAGAAGATCCCTGCAGCCTAAGCTTAGTGGAAAGAATAAAAATGTTCGATACCGTAGTGGTCGAAACCAAAAATAATGTCACGCCTAGGGCGAGCGTGCGCAAGTCGCCGAATCGCTATTCGCTCGATTCCGCAACCGCTAACGCTGCCGCAGCGGCACGGCAACTTTTCCTCAACGCAACTGTGGCTTTAGGTGTGCTATTTTTTTTGTATATAAAATATATAGCGCAGGATCGACTTATGCACTTTTTTACATTACAACCGAAAAAAAAAGGTAAAAACGGTAATTGAAGTATCAAAACAAACATTTTTATTAAAGTCATAGGTCAATCCTGTTAACAAAGTCAGTTACAAATCATAAGCATTTACGCGTACGCTGAATACGAACCTGAACTTATTTTCGTGCGATCGAAATTAGTTTTCGAGAAAAAAGATCAGATTTCTGACCTAAACACAACACAACCCTCACCATCACTTTAAAGTAACTAAAAAAAACATTTATTTGTATACAATTTCGTATTTAAACCGCCATTTCCATCTCTGACAGTCATGCGCCAAAGAATTTTCTGTCCCTCATCTTTGCCTGAAATAAGGTTACTAAGTACTGTAAAATTACTTTGTATAAACGGTGAAATGTCATAAATAAATTAATATAACTATAAAAGAATGTAACTAATTTAGAAAAGTAACTGTAGTGAAATAGTAAATAGTGAGGATTCAAGTGTTGAGTTCAGGTTAGAATTTAGAATTTTTTTTCTCAAATACTAGATGGTAGTACATTAGGTAAAAGGTCAAGTAACTTTTCGAACATTAATTAATTACAATTAAATGCATTTGATTTGGCGACTGATATAGCTTCTTTCGATTTTTATTTTATTTTATTTAGTGGCACTTGTAAACTAATGCACAATTTTCCCGCGTTTTCCAAGTTTGTGTTCTAGAAACAAATATTGCATGCCATACGGAAAACACAATTTTGCTCGCTGTACATAAGTCACACAACAAACACGTACTTGTATAATATGCACGTTTTCAAATTGCTGCCTACATAGAAATATACTTACATAATAATTAATGAACGTATCACATATCGTGCCTCAGTATCAAAAGTTAATTTCGTCGCGAACGGCTATTCTGATTTTGAAAATTTATAAAAAATTTTATTATTTAATTCCATTGTAGAAACCTTTCGTTTTGAACAAATACAAGAGAAAATGAGACGTTTTTTCCGAAATAAATATCGCCAGAGCAACTAAACATACACTAATTTAGGTGACGTCATTAGCATTCCCTCTTGTATTTTGTCTTAGCGTTGTAACTGAGAAATAAACCTAAAATTGGGGAGAAAGATTGTCAAAATTAGATTAGCTATTCACGAAAAAATCAACTTTGAATTTGAGGCCCATTTTTAGCGATGTGGCTAATACAATTTTGGAAGTACGGACCTGCAAAGTTTTAAATGAAACTTTTTAATAAGTTTGAAACGGCTTAAAATAAAAACTTGTTTGGAGACCTGGTGCAAATCGAATCAGGACATAATTCAGCAATGTTCCCAAAAAAAAAAAGATCATCAGTGGCGTAGATATGGGGTCAGAAAATTCTAAATCAAGGATTTTCTAATACCCTGTTGAATTTTTCGAAATAACAGTCTTTGTCAACAAATAACACCCGTAAATTTTTTAAGAAAGTATAATTGTTGAAATAACACAATTTTCGATATATCTGTCCTAAAAACACGATATAGTGCACGAATTAATTAGTAGGCTTTGAACATTATTGGATGATAAATTGTTGCAAGTAAGTGGCAGATAAGCTATTTCTATAGTTCTATTATAAAAAAACATTAATGACTGGACTTTCGATGATTTATCCAACATGAAATTTGTGTTTGGGTCAAGCAGAGGCAAATGTTTTTAAATCTGGGTTTAAAACGGAAACATTATTAAAGCAGCACCTATTTGAAACAATTTGTCGTCCAATATTCAAAGCCTACTAATTAATTCGTATATATCCAAATTTGCGATTGTCTCGAAAACCACATATCCTACTAAAAATTTACAAGAATTTTATTTGTAGATAACAAACTGTTATTTAGAAAATTATCGCGCAAGGTGCTTTAAAAAAACCTCCAATTATAATTTTTTATTTATAAAAATGGCCTCTGCCCCTATATCTGCGGTACTGATTGTCTTATTTTCCCGCTAATACCACTAAATTATGTCCTAATTCGATTTAAAGGTTTTATTTCCCTGTTTCGGATTTATTAAAATGTTTCCAATTTTATTTTAGCAACAGCACTTTGCTGGACTGTATTTTCATAAATATGTCTAACTGACCAAACCATTCTCGCAAGAATTTTAGTTTTATGTTTCTTACCGCACTGTATATTTAAAATGGAACAGTTACTATTTTTTTTTAATTTTGTAGCATCTGCGACGCTTAAAAGTAACCAAACGAATAAGAAAATTAATATCTAATTAAGCTGAACACTCGTCAACTACGACTTGGCGCTGCCACTGCTAAAAATACCCCCGTTGACTGCACTTATCCTCGGATGAGCCCTTTTTATGACTTCCCATTCCAGCTCCCGTTTCACCAGATGGAATTTTACACAGCGCGACACGTCTTCATCATCATCACTCAACGGAAAGCGACAGCCCTCGATGGCGTTTTTAACGCATTGTTCCCGCTAATAAATTCAGAACGCGTCGCCTTTCCGACACCTTTTCAAAGCGGGGCGTCAAAAATATGACGGAGCAGTCGGTCCGAGTAGATTAAGAAGTAATTGGTAAAGTGGAGTGGTGTGATAGTGTACAGAAATCTTTGGGAAGAAGTGGGTATTCAGTTTTTAAAAGTCCCATGGGCGTATCTTGTCTCTCATAGTCTGTTTCGAAATGGTGTGGAGTAAAGCTCATTATACGACCAAATCTCCGAAAAACGTGTATTGATGGGGTTTATATCTAATTTCAAACAGTATATTTTATCACAGCACTAGTAATTTTTGGATGGAAACGGAAGTGTATCTATTTTTTTCTCACTTCATCAACAACACATTTTATCAACTTATCCTTTTTCGCCATTTATTTTCTCGGTTTTCTTCCAGATGTGATTTCAATAAGTCTTAGCATTCTCCATTACACCATTTGTTTATATTTTTGTGGTAATTGGCCTGCATTTTAGATACAAAATAAAATTAATTTACTCTTACGGTTTTGCAATATTAGTCAATTTCTATTTCTGATCCACCTGCAAATAATTTTGGAACAATTACCGTTTCATTTTGCACAATTTATTTCGCCTTACAATAATCTTGCCACTAACACAATGATACCTCAACTGATTTCAAATATTTTTTTCATTACAAATTCTATTTGCCTACATCTTAAAAAGATTAAACTGAATGAATTTTAAGACAGCTAATGGATACGTTTGACGACTGATTTATTACCGCATACCATTTCAAAATAGACTATAGCAACTTTCCCTTGACGAATACGAATTAATCTATTTTTACATGCACGCGAAAAAAATTGAGCGCAGAAAGTCAAGTTCGTACATTTCCAAGTGGAATTTTATTTGCAAAAAAGACCTAAACAACCATCGATGACGATTTCGCGTTGTGTCAAGCGGGGATCTAGAATGGCAAGTGTGTAAGATGTAAATATAGCGTGGTTATGGGATTGTCGGTGTTGATGCGAGACAGTGGCACAGTGTAGTGAATGATATGTATGGGAGAATGGTGGAGTTTTTTTTAATTTGTAGGGATTGGCGCCAGTCATTGATAATATTCGCAATGTGCTACAATGTGGGCTATTTTTAAAGCAGTGGGTTTCTTAAAATGTCAAGAGTGGAGTAGTGTGCAGTGTGCATACAAATTGCAGTAGCAGATAGCAGAAGTGCAGAATGTTTACAAATATAAGAACTTGGGATGCAATAATAATAATTTTGTTTATATTTACTTCAGAAACATTAATAGCTTCTATTTACGAACACGGACGCCATTAACACTGAATCGATGCTAGTCTAAAATTTTAGAATACATAATTTCCTTCTAGTGCTAAGGTCCGTGAGAAAATCGTACATGACGTAAAAATCAGGGCCGAATCGAATATATTTTAATTGGCGGGGTAATAAATATCTCACTGGAATAGTGTTTGATAGAATAAAAGAAAATTAACAAGAATTCAGGAGTTAAATTTTCATTCCCGCCCCCAAAAATTATATAAACAAAATAATTTCGTTGTTTGTCGAGTAAAAAAGATCTTATTCAAGTTAAGTAAACAAAATACCGGGTTTTATTTTTTTTTATATTTCAATAAAAACTAGTATTAAATATCTGTACGACCAGTTTTAGATCTGGTTACTAGACTTTAGTATATGGATAATGTAGGTACTTGAAATTCCAAAATGAACTATGAGTAATATGGAGAATAAAGTGCCAGAGACGCCCATTAACAATTGCCCTTTGTTCTGCGGTCAGTATTAAGTAGTCTTTAGTTCAACTAATTTTAATCTTAATTTCTTAATTATCCAAAAAATGATGGGTTGCTTTGCATGTTATGTTATTGTTTGTATAAAATTATGCGTCTACAAATACATTTATATTTTTCAATAGGTCATGTGAAAACAAAGTACGGACCTGGAATGTACGATTTACTGTCGGACCTTAGAACAAAATAAATTTACTATGTTTATTTTGATCTTTTTTCCTTTAACATGTTCAGAAAATGAGTACCTGCGTATTAAGTGACTCTGTACCTACTGTTGCACAGCGGAATAACTTTATATTTAATATTAGGCCTAAATTTTCCAAAATTTCTGTGAATTCTGTCCGAGTTCTTCAATTTTCACCGTTGTAAGCTTCAAATATATCCACTACGTACACACAATACAACATAAAGTGTATTATTTACGATGTGGTACAAGTTATTAACCTTTTTTACGTTCCAGACGACAGCGAAACCACCAAATCGTCAGAAAGGAAGAGCATCCTGAAGACAGCCATCGAGTCGTCCGTCCGACGCACCGTCGTCAGTTCCGGCGCGCCGAAATCCGCCCTCAAGAGACGTGATGTGAACGTTTCGCCCGGCAGGCGCTCCATCCTCAAGACGGAGGTGTCGCCCGACAAAGACGACGAGGGCATCTCGTGCAACGACTCGGATTCCGATTCGGACGCGTCGCCGCACGCCCAGTTCGGCTCCAAAGAGGAGGAGCGCGGTAGGAAGGAAGAAGACGACGAAAAGGCGACGACCGGCAGGTATGGGAAGTTCAACGGGGACAGCACCTCCGAGGGGGAGTCCTCGGGGGGCAGGGAGATCAGGAGCATCTTCAAGAACGACAACAGGCTGCGGGTCATGTAAGTGCGATTTTTTTTTTAGTTCTTTTAGAGTAGCGCTGTTTCTAAACTGGAAAATTTTGACAGCCCTGTATGTTTACGAACTGTGGTATTTTTTGGAACTGTCAAATAACGCATCTGGTCATTATTTCCAGACTAATGCATTTCGCATTAAATCCCAAGTGCTTGTTTACTACTTCCGTGGAGTGAATACAGTCATTGAAGCTGAAAATCAGATGTAACCTCCGAATTCTTTGAAACTGCATGGATTTGCATTAAAAATTTAGAATAAGACTCATCTTAGGCTCAAGTTCAAAAGTGACATAAGCCCGATTGACGCTTTTTGTTTTTTAGGGGTAAAAACTACCCCTAATTGAAAAAAAATTAAAAAAGTAGGTTCTAAGCATTTTATTGATAAAAATCTTGTTCAAGCACAAAGATTAAATAATGTTCCATGTTCTCGAACATGTTTTATGATATATTTGATCTTTTCGACCCTTTATTTAACCCTTAAAAACTACCCCTATGCAAAAAATAATGATAAAAAATTACTTTTTAAAGATTTGGAATGATTAAATCGTGCAATTATTTAAAATAAAAGTTACCTTATAACTAATAAAGGAATTATACCCTTTCAACCCCTAAAAACCACCCCTGTATTGACAAAAATTATAAAAAATTACTTTTTAAAAGCTTGGAATGCTTTAACGGTGCAATTATTTAAAATAAAAATTCACTCATTGCCTATGAAAGAATTTGTATCTCATAACACTTTTCAACCCTTATAAATCACCCCTGAGCTAAAAAAAAATTTACTTTTGCCATTTTCAACTCTTATAAGCTACTCTTTTAACAATATTAATGTAAAATATTTTTATTATAATCGATTTTTAAATATAATAAATCATAAAAAAAATTGCTACACTGCATATAAATAATCACACTAATTCTTTTTACTTATTTTATTTGTATAATATAATATGTAATATATAAAAATGAGAAAGCCCATTTTGCTCCAAAAAAATGACATTGTTTTTTTTGCCATAACCCGGTTAATTTTGAAGCTATAGTATCCTACAAAAAAGCTTTTTAAAGATAATTTCAAGAGCTGTAAGATCGTTTGCAAATAAAACCTTTTAAGTCCTTCGTTTTTTAAAGGGAAAAGATCGAAGGGCTCGAGACAGGTCGTTGTTTCACTAAAATGAATACTTCATGCGGCGATATCTCCTTAATTTTTTATGCTATAGGAATAAAAAAGCAAAATATTTGTTGGAAAAAAGCTACATGTTTGTTTCCTATCATTTTTTACGTACCTTTCATAGTTTCAGTTATTATATAAATAGAGCAATTTTTTTGAATAATGAAAATTACGTTTTCAACTTTTACCGCATATTATTAAAAAAAAATGCGCATTATAAACCGGCCTAACTTCAGGATCGTATGAAAAACACTAAAACAAAACTAATTTTAAAGGGTATAGGATTAATTTTAATTCTGATGGAAATGGTACAGCGTTTACTGCTCATTTTTCCTTAAAAAATATGAGCAACCCATCTGTTTTTGACGATAACTCCTTCAATTTTGCTCTAATTAACTTTTATAAGTGCTCATTTTGAAGGCTGTTTTGAGTACTACAAGTTTTCAATCGTGAATAACTAAAAAACTATTGATTTTTCGAAAAAATTCTTTCGTTTATTATTTTTGAAAAAGAAAATTTCCACCCCCAAGAAGGGGTGTCAAACCCAACAGGGTGGAAGCATCAATCGGGGCTATGTCACTAATGTTCATTGACCTTTTCTCTAACTATCTGCCAAATTTCAAGTCGATCTGTTCAGTTTCAAAGAATTCGGAGGTGAAAAGCTTCAATGACCTCATTCATTTTCATTAATCTTTCGAAAGTCGATACAACTTCTTCGACAGAAATTTAAAATCGATTAAGATAAACGACACAAAACTGAACAACTTCTTCCATTGGTTTTAACTTTTCCAAGAAATGTTGTGCTATAACGTATGGATTTAAAAAGAAATAATTTTCATTTCCGCCAATGTATCTCCTTCTAGTCGCATTGTCGTCCTTGTTAAATAAATGAATTATTTCCTTGGATAAAAATTAAATCCTTTCTCTATCTTGAGCGTAAGCGTTATTCAGATTGAGAAATACGCGCACGCATATCTGTTATTAATATGGTATTGAAGAGGTGTTAAATAATTAACGGCCTTTACCCACTCAAGTTTATAAATAACTCCTTCAACTGCATATGCGGATGGCAGACTCACCAACATTTCGCTTTATTTACACTCGGGTCGTAGAGGTTTATTGGTATTTAAACAAGTGTTTACATTTTCGCGATTTCCTCCAGCAAATAAAACGCATTTTGCTTATTACGATTTATCTTCGGCTGTCAGGAGTGACAACTGAAGTAAATGAATGTTTATACAACGTTAAATGTTTATTCTCTTCCTCGTGTTGTTTCTGAAGCGCTTTGGCTGATTAGCTCGAAATTTCGAAAGTATAGTGAAATTTTCAAATCTAGTGTTCCGTTCGTCTGGCATTTTCGGAGCTTGAATTCGAAAGTTGAGCGATTTTCTGAAGACAAAAAATCACCCCATTTATATTTTGTAAAGTGTATATGCAACTCAGAAATGACCTATTTGTGTCTGTGCGTACCAAATACGGAGGCCCTTGCATCTAATTCGACTTTTATGGTGTCATGCACCAGTGATCAAACGAAAACACCCCAGGGAGATATTTTAAAAGATGTAGAGGCAGAATCCAGTACCATCGACTATCAGTCGCCTAACTCTGTCAAGAAACGTCCCGCTCTCCAATTATAAGATGATAACACGCCCTTACAAGTAAACTTTATTAATGGAGGCATTACCTGCATTGCTGGTGGCGTATAATTGTTAATATATCCGCGATTACCAACACGGACAAAGTTGCAGGTGCAGGCCGTTCTATTTATTATAACAGAGATGGCCATTAAGATAGCTGCCTGGCAAAAGGAAAGTAACAGGTAGGCAAATAGACTGACCGATTGCGATGCACTTCGTTACGGCTGACCTTGGAAAGTCGAACTGGGATCAGGTACAGGGCCGTTCTGCCTGAATTCGCGGGGCCTAGATGGTATTTTCAAGAAGGCGACTAAAAACACCAATATCGATAAATAATTACGTTTAGTAAACAGTTGTGTCCAAAGGTGTTCGAATATCTTTTACATTTATGGTGGTTCATTTCTTCATTACATTTTTAACCATATTTTTGGACCAGTTTAAAACTGCTCTAGCAAATAGGTATATTAGAACTATGGACAGAACAGATATATTTATTTCACTAGACAGTGACCTGACCTTTCGCTCTAACTTCTACAACATACTACTTTAGGTGGTAGAGGTTTATTGGGGAAAATTTTTGAGGTTCCCACTTGTAAATTGAACACATTTTGTTTATTACGACTCATCTTCAGCTGTCAGATATGAAAACTGACTTTAGTAACGTTAAATAATGTTTCTTTTATTCTTCATGTTGTTTCTAAATCGCTTTGACTCATTGAAATTTCGAAAGTATAGTGAAATTTTCAAATCTTTCCACTTCAGCTTATATGGCTGCTGTAGCGTCTCGATATCCGGAAAGTTAAGTGAATTTTCGAATTTTGCTCGTCTCTGCTTGAATGACAACTTTGAATTTCCGAACGAAATTGGAGCGATTATTTTTTCTTTTTGCTCAAAGGATTTATAGAGACAGCAAGTTTCTATAAGTATAGAACCAGTCCCTGCACTGCTTGTGTTAATTTCTTCCGAACACCGCAATCTTCTCCACTTTTTCCATGCCTTCCATTGAAAAAACCAGCCTATAACTGCTATGAAAATGTCGTTAAGTTTTATGGCCTTGTATACAAAGTAAACTTGGATGATCCTAAGGCGCCGTATATACCCGTACAACGAATCAGATTTCATCATTATTTCTATTATTAGTATTGCCAGTATTGGGAAAGTCAGAATAAGTGTTTTTGTCACACATAACGCAAGCTTTACGATTAAATTAAATTAACTGAAAGTGAAAAACGGTTGTCTGCAAACTTAAATGTACGGACAATATAGGTAATAAGTATTAATATAAGCTTATTATTTTACCGCGAACCAAAAAAATTGGAAATACGTTACGGTTTCTGAACATCTCGATGTACTGACACATGTTTAACCAATAAAAAAACTGTACCACAACAAACTACAGTTTGGTAACACAAAGCAGTTCAAAAACCGGGCTCTACGGAATTTACCAAAAAAAACACTCGTTTGTTTTTTTCATAGTTCACACGACACGCTCTGATAATTTCAAGCAGCAATCCAATTGAGCGGAAAATCGTCATTAAATGTCCTATTAAATCGTTTGGTAGGAGCCTATACGGTAAAGTTTTTGCGCTGATTAAGTTTTTTGAGCGCTAGAAAGCAAGTCGTGTTTTGAGATTCGGCGATATTTTTATTTCGTTTTTTAAACGGAAAATCGGTCGCGGTCTAAAAATTCGATCCTGTTTGGTACAATGCAAATGTGGTGAGATAACACAGGTTGTCGTCTTGTTGCAACTGTTTTCGATTGCTAAACGCTGCCTTTTGATTTAACGTAAACCGTATTCAGTGGTGGTTTGATGGTTTCTGGATCGATTGCCTTTATGATAATTTTGATGATTTGGCGGACATGACTTCAAGAGAAATTAAAATTATCCACGGTATCGTTAGGTAAAATTTATACTCAAAAATATAGTAATGCAGTAATAGGAGATATCAAAGAATTAAAATGGAGAGCTCTTCGATGTTTCTCATTTCGATGTTGTCTTTCCAGTGTCCAACGATTGACTTTTTCGCCTTTTTTTTTCCCCTTCCACACCTCCCGTTATTAATCGGCATTCAGTGTTTCCATGTCTTGTATTATGAAAACGATTACTCAACTGACAACCATTCAATGAAAAATTTCAGAGGCGAGGTTGAGTTACTGACGGACAATCTAACGCGGGAGGCCTTGA